TTCCCAGGCTCATTTGTGATCAACCCCCGGCTGCAGCGGCTCTTTATGACACTCGCGGTGACGTTCCCGGGCCAGGACAGCCTCATGCGCATTTACGGCACCTTTCTCACGGGCCACCTTGCACGCTTCAAAGAGGACGTGCAGGTGGGACAGGGTTTGGTCTGTGATGAATGACTGCTTGGTTTGACCTCCAATGTAGCAATGACGCCTTTTGCATGGAGAGGCGGACGGTCAGCCTGTGCATTCCATTACTCAGAGCATGAACGGCAAAGCTAAGGCTGCCTAGGCTGAGCGGCGGGGCACGTGGGACGCACTCCTTTGGACAGCCGGGGTTTACTGCTGGGCTTGGCTGATAAATTCCGTGCTGTGACGTGTTCACGCGTGCAGGAGATGGGCACCAAGATTCTCCAGGCCGGGCTGGCGCTGCACGAGCGCGTGTCCAGCACCTTCCGCAAGACGGCTGTGAACTTCCATTACGAGTTCACGGTGGGGGTGGGACAGGGTTGTTGGTGTGCTCAACGAGAACACCTGCAACAGACTGGAGCCCTACAAGAGCAGGATCTGCATTATGTTTTCACATGGCATCACGACGCTTCCCTGCCAATCGCCCAACCCTGCCATGAGCAGGTGCGCCACCTGGCCAACGTCTTCCAAGGGTTGCTGATGAGCAGCCCCGACGTCATCAACAGCCCCACCAAGTGGGCCAAGCTCTGGCTGCATGAGAGCGAGAGGGTCTATGCAGACAGGCTGGTCTCACAGGCGGTGCGTGCCAACAAGCATATTATGAAGCGGCTTCCAAATATCCTCACCTCTGCTGCTGTGTGCACCAATGGCCAGGCCCATTGCTTGGGGCCGGCTGCGAGTGTCCGCATACCGCGCAGCCCCTGTCGTGCACATACAAGGGAATCACTATCACACTGTGTCATTCCCTGCCTCTCATGAGGTTGATCTGCCTCCCCCTCACATTACAATCTCAGGACCTTGACAGCTACAACAAGTCAGCCGTCGCCATCGCCAAAAAGTATCTTGCGCTGCCAGGTAAGGGGACTACTGGGGACAGGACTGGAAGGAATTCTATTGCTCTGACGAATGCTCCGGGTGCCTGATATAAAGTAGACAGTTAAGCCATGGCCGTCAGTTCCTGCTGGCGAGACACCCCAACGCACAAGGCCCCCTCAAATTCTAGCTGTCCGTCTTGCACATTAATTCAAAGGCCAATGCAGGGATCAGCCAACATGCCTACCGCCCAATCAACCCTTTCCACCCGTCAGATATTGACGAATTTTACCGCAAGAAGGACCCCCGGCCCCTCATGTTCTCACACTTTGCGCGCGGCATGGCTGACAAGACCTACGACGAGGTGGGGGCTGCGCCGCCCTTCCCCATGGCTGCCTGCATTGCCTCTTCACCTCCACGGCAGGCTAATGACCTGGCAGCATGGACAGATGTCGAGTGGACTTGAGGAGTGGGTGCTTTGTTCTGAATTGATATTTCCCGATCCCTCGTACCGATCGACGTGTGCTCTTATTCTCCCTGGGCACCTCCTCGCAACAACCCCAGGTTCCCGACTTCCAGCACCTGTACAAGGTGCTGACAGAGGCCCTGCTCGAGTACAACGAGACCAACGCGGGTGGGCACTGGGTGGTACCCGTTCCTGCGTGCTTGGTCCCCGCACTTTTGTGTTTATTGTGTGAAGCAATTCCCAAAAGCACGAGAGGGCGTCTGTGAACGTCAGCAGACCAGGCAGCCCCGTCCTCCGCCTCCCTTGCTGAAAGTGCCTGCCATGGCCTTGCCATCAGCATCGCTGATGCCTTCCATCCACTAGGCTATGCCTTAAGCCTGGACCACAGCTGAACATCCCTTTCACCACCAATCCATCACGGCCGCTGCAGTGATGGACCTGGTGCTGTTTGAGGATGCCATGAAGCATGTGGCCCGCATCAGCCGCATCATCTCCAGCCCTGGAGGGCACGCGCTGCTGGTCGGCGTCGGTGGCAGCGGCAAGCAGAGCCTGGCCAGGTGGGCACAGGGGTTCATGGCCCGTCTGGCCGACTGCAGCTGCCGCTGTTGCAACCGCCTTCATTGCATCTGCCAGAACCGCTAGCATGTGACGGCAATCGATACTCTGTGCACCCCGTGTCCCACACCAGGCTGGCGGCGTTCATCTGCGGCTACAGCACCGTGACCATCGTGATCAGCGGCAACTACGGCCTCAACAGCTTCAAGGAGGACCTGCAAAAGATGTACCGCCGCGCCGGCCTCAAGGGCGAGGGCCTGCTCTTCCTGCTCACGGACAGCCAGGTGATGGCGGACGGTGGTACTTTCGGCCGCCCACCTGCTGGGACGGCACCAGGGGGTGCACGATGGATGGGTTGAGCGTATTCTGGGCAGGGTTGCTTCAAGGCCCTGCTGTTGGTCATGTGTTCTCTTGGGTTCAGTCACTTCGCTCTCAGCAACATTTGCAGTGCAGCAACGGGGTTGTGAACCTTACCTGGGGCAACATTACATACACACACACGCACGCACGCACGCGCGCGCGCGCACGCGCGCGCACACACACACACACACACACACACATCCCTGCACTCATGCCTATGCCACCCGCCATTGCATCCCCAGATTGTTGACGAGCGCATGCTCGTGAGCGTCAACGACCTGCTGGCCAGCGGAGAGATCCCGGAGCTGTTTGCGACAGAGGACCGCGACGAGATCGTCAACGCGATGCGCGGGGAGACGAAGAGCCTGGGGCTGGTCGACTCATCAGAGAATTGCTGGGCCACCTTCATAAACAAGGCGCGCCGCCGGGGCGACGGGGGATGGATAACACAGGGATGGAGGCAACTTTGGGGCGCCTTGACGCAGTCCGCATTTTGAGGTCGTCCAGGTACATGCCTTTGGTTGACAGTGGGTTGCCTTGGTGGTCGTGCACGCGATGATCATCTTCCAGAAACCTGCCACGTGGCTGCCCAGCGCAGGTCAAGGCCAACCTGCATGTGGCGTTCACAGCTTCACCTGTGGGCGAGGCTTTCCGTGTGCGCAGCCAGCGCTTCCTCGCCACCATCAACTCCACGGTCATTGATTGGTAAGCAACAGCGGTGTACAAGGACACGCATCAACAAGGAGTCGTGAGCCTGCTGCTGATTGAGCCGTGCCCACACACACATCGCAGACATCCAGGCCCCTTGCTATCTGCATGAAACTTTGCACAACAGGCCGCTCGCGGTCATGCAGCCTCCCTGCCTCGCAAACGTATTCCCCCTCTTTACATATCCCAACCCTTTCTCTCCCGCCTTCTACCCAGGTTCCAGCCGTGGCCGGAGGCGTCCCTCCACAGTGTGGCCCGCAAGTTCCTGGACGAGTGCGACCTCGGCTCAGACGCCACGCGCGCAGCTGTGGTCGAGTTTATGCCCTTCGGGTTCGCCGCCGTCAACAAGGTGGGGCCTCAGCATCAAGCACGGGGAATGGAGGGTGCATTGCTGCAAACCAAGAGGCGCAAGTGAGCAATGCTCCAGCAGTTGCCGGTCTTGGTGCATAGCGAGGTGCTTGAATTGGCCGCTTGCACATCGTCACCGCACCCATCAAAACCTTGAATCGCAGGCATCCAAGGTGTTCTATGACGTTGAGCGGCGCCACAACTACACAACGCCAAAGGTTTGCTGGCATGGGATCGCCCAACGCCTCTGCGATTGGTGGTGCATAAACCATCGCAACTTTGTAAGCGCGCACTACCCGCATCTGTCCTCGCCCCACCTACGACCCACCCTCCCTGCCCGACTCCCCCACACCACTGACACACACAACCCCTTCTGCATTGTTCACCCCACCCCACCC